GACTCGGCTCGCCGTGCTCGCCGAATTCGGGAGAGCGCGCCGCAAAATTGTCGCTCGCTCGCGCGCGAACATTCGCCAAGTTGACGTCGAAAATCCAATCTCAGCGAGCGAACGAGCAAGGGGGAATTTCTTCTCGTAAACATCGCGGCGGCGATCTTTCATTTTGACGCATTCGCCGCGCGCGTAATTTCGCATGGCGCTCCTCTCCGTATGACCTAATTACCCCCGAGCGATATTAATGCGAACAAACGTTTAGAATACCTAACGCTACGTTCACCTCTCCACGCGATCGCGCGTCCCCGCGAGCGTAGGTGAAGCACCGGCGGTCTTGATGAAATTTCCCGCCGGTATTTCCTCGACGAAACTTTAATTCGGCCGCGCGCCCCCTCTTCCTCCTCCCCCTCCTCGACTTTCTAATTTAATTCAATCTATAACGCGCATAAATTTCCGCGCCCGTGTTTAAAATTCTCTTCGCGGATTCGGTAGAGGAAAAGCATCGAGACTGACGTAGGTATGGTAAACCGACACACCTACATTCTCGGCTGTGAAGTACTAAAATCGATCGGACGGAACGTGAACTGCTCGTCTACCTTGTAGAGTGATTGGAAATGAAGCGGCAGTTTCTGCCTGCAAGCGCGTTCGGTTGTGTTTATTAGCGTCGTTTAATTTATATCTATAACAAGGCTTTAGAGTCTAAAAACAAAATGGTGCTTTTTCTTTAACATCGATCGGCGAGCCACTCCACTGGCGTCTTCCTCTCTTCCTCCATACTCAACAAAAACAATTATTCCCGACGATAATCGCGCTTATTTGGAATTCGAGGAGTATTCAGGAACACCGAGATCCGTCGCGGCTGAATAGCGAGGAGAGAAAACCTTTCCTATCGTTAGGACCGCAAAACCTTCTCTCCTCTTGCTCACCCCCTCCACCCCCCCCCTCTCTTCCCATTTCCCAGCAGGTGCACTCCATTCGCTCGCGTGATTCGGACGCGTACGTTTCGAGCGGGTTAAAAGCTTCGCGCGTTTCCACTCGCCGACTCCTCTCGCCGAATGCCGAGCTATTCATCGCGCGTAACGCATATACGCGCATGCCGCTGCGTTCTCGTTCATTAAGAACATTTCACTTCTTTTGCACGGTGGTCTATCATCTCCCTCGTCCGCATCAACCTTTGCCAGCTGAATTCGCGATGCGGCGACGTGAGCCGCATCGGAAACGCATCCAGACGCAAAGACAAAGCGAGTTGCATCACGAACGCCTCTCCTCCTTGTCATCGATGATCTAACATAAGCGCGATACACAATCGCAAGAAAGCGCAGTGATCGAGAGAGCCTGTCGAGAAACTGTCGTCTCTTCGTCGCGTGTATCGACTTCCTGTCTCTATTTTTAATTTTATGAAATCGTCGAAACGAAGAGCAGAGAGAGAGAGAGAGAGAGAGAGAGAGAGAGAGAGAGAGAGAGAGAGAGGGGAAGAAAAAAACATAGACACACTCGGACTGCTCGGTTAAGACCGAACGAGACGGCGCTCCTCGACTCGACGTATTTACGACTGTTCGCGTAATACGGCCGACGAAAAGCCCGATGACGAGGCGTCGGAATTTTGGAGCGGCTCCAAGAGCCGCTTCTTTGTTTTGAAATTGCCGCGCGTACACGGGAAAACTAATAATTCATTTTGATCGCGGGTAATCTTGCCAAACGCCGCATTCCCGGCGTGCTTCCCTCGCCATCTTCACGAAAATGCTGTCCGCAGAAGTACTTCCGATATATAATGAATCACGCGTTGCGTTATTCATGGCGATGAAAAATGCATCCCCGACCTTTCCGACTTGCGCGATCGTATTTGCCGTGGCCGCGCGCGCGACGATTCCGAGTCCGGCGAACATGACGGACGGCGTTTTGTCAACTCGAGTGCACAAAGAATTATGTATGAAGGACCTTCCGCGAATTATTACGAGCGTACGCTTGGCAACAACAACGGCGTTTTCGAGAACGAGATACGCGAAATGTAAGTAACTCGGAAAATACGTGCACGTCCAAGAGGATGATCCCGCGTCGCGCGCGATCGAAAGGTGTGCGCATTTGCGCGCGAGCTGCTTGTGTCGGATCGGATATCAGATCGCATAATATCAGATCAGGAGGTTAATAAGTGGAGGTTAAAAATCTTCTAAACGAATCAAACCTATATTTGATACGTTTCCTAGCAGAATTTCATTGTCTTTTCCGCAGACTCCACTTTGTACTTTTTTTTTTTCAGTAGTTGTGTAAAACGGACTTAACTTTGACAAAGTGAATACGGAAAAAATTTTCCCGTCACACACATGCGACACATTGGTCTCTCGCGAGAGAGATCGTTACGTCGCACACGTGTGACGCTGGCGTGTTAAAAGAAGCGCCGCCGCTCATTTGCGCTGCGAAAACGTTAAAATTACAACGAAGCATGCGAATTTCTTTTGTCATAGTTCACGAAAAAGGGAGGTAATTAAGAAGAATGGCCGCTCTTACGTATCGAATGAATGATTCTCTCGTTCCGGAGAATTTGTGAAAATTTCACGTTGCGCGAGGAAGAATGCTTTATTTGAAAACAATAGAAAGCCGGTAGAAGATGGCATACGTGATATGTTGCAACACGCGCGGAGTGAAATCAGAATAGAAAGGTGCCGATCTTTTAGCCGATTCTTTTTTCTTCTTCTCAGCTACTTAACGGGCGTAGCGATTTTTATTTTTTTTTTGCCCGGCGACTTCGCCGGCGAGTTAATAATCTCGAAAATCAAGGACGCGCGACTGCCATTGTCGCGAAATACGAGAGAGTCGCCGACGCTCTCGCGTTTTCGCGAGAGAAAAATTATTACGCACGGTGGAAGTTTCATCCCCGGGAAAAACGTGCGAATATTGCTGCGAAACTTTCCTCTTTTCCGCGTACGACTAACTGCATTAAGTCTCCCGACCTGAGGGTCGCGATGTAACATACGAGGGGGAGTGGCTCGTGCACGGCGAAAAAACTAATATATAACTTTTATCACGCGCGCGCGCGCGCGCTTCCGGGCGACGAGGTGCGAGTGAAGTTGACTTCCGCCGCGAAATTCGGTCCAAATTCGTTGTCCGAATTTTAAAACTCGGATCTTAACAATCTAATTGCTTACATCCAGGCTTGTACAACTCCACTCTGCTTTCAAACGAAGCAGCATTTCATTTGCACCGCATACACATTGTAATAATTACAACAAAGTGCGCGCGAAGTCCTGGTTTTCAGAAAAAAATTTCTTCCCCCTCTCCCCCTCCCCCCCAAAAAAAACAAAAGGAATAAGAGATAATTATGAAAAGTGTTTCTATGCATACCAAATATAAATCATTCGGGAGGATTCACGAAAATACCGTCGCGCCCGAGACAATCTATTTCGATGCTGTTTCGATGCTATTTCGAGGTTTCGCTTTTTACGTTATTTTAAGAAAATGGAGAATGTAATAAATTTCTTCGGGGTTAGCGGCGAACGCATTTCCCCGAGAAGCCGCGGTCGTGTTACCGCTCAGTATTGCGCGCCCGTACGATTGTGCAGCCGCGCCAGCCGCGATCGATATATTTTTCCCACGATATGTCGAAAGCGCCGCTGAAGGAGAGAGCGGCGAGGGGAGAGAAAAAAGCAATTACCCGGCGCGAAAATGCCTTCCTCGCGGAATCGCGGACAGTATCGCATCATTTGTCTTATCTCTCGTGAGATATTGTTTCCTCGGTGATATTGTCAATGATCGTGGACTCCCCGCGAGTAAACCGTCCGTTCTCGGACAGCCTTTATCCGTACGACACCAATCGAAAGTAGCCAAAGGAAAGAACATGACCTTCGAACTTGGCAATGCGAATGCAGGAAGGGGGGGATAAAAGAAGACGATCTCAAGGTTTCTCGATTTTTCGTAGTGACACGAGAATAACGATCGATTTCAATAGCCATGTGTTTTTAGTTGTATCAGTCAGAAATTTCGTAAGGAAGATGTAAACATTTACCATAATCGTGTAACATCTGATGACGAAATACTACTATCCCTTCTTTCTCTACATTTTTCCGAAACATTCATCCTCGCTGCTTAAACTCGTACACTCTCCGTTTACGTTCCGGACGCGATTCTTCACTTTCGAAACTTATGTAAATCGCGGGTCAGTCTCGCGGAAACATTATGCGTTAGCGAAAGAGAAGACAATGACTTCGCTTTCTCACATTCGCGTATTCGGAGGTCCTCTGTGCGTAATCTCCTATCGTGACGTGATATCCCGAAATCCTTAGCTTTGCGAAAAAAGGAAGTCCAGCGCGCTATTAATAATCCACGCTCTCGCACAGCATCACCGCACGCAGCGTTCTATATGTGGAGCAGGTTGGGAAATCGCTCGCGCCGACGCGTCACGATGAAACGCGCGAGCCGGCCGTTAGTTTGACCCAATGACCCGCAATTAACGCGTATACGAGAATCGTATATAGCAGCGTTAGGTGCCACTCGCAGGTGTGATCGCACCAGGTACGTTTGCACGGTCTGCGAACGGTCATCGTCAAGCGCAAACTCTAACCGTCGTAAAGAGCATGAGAAAACTTTCGTCGTCGTAATAACTTCTCCCGCGAAAATGCTGTTGCGGCCGCAGCGACGCTTGGGGAAGACACGCAATCAAATTACGCACGCCGACATCGTAATTAACGTCCGTTTCTTTCCCCCGCGAATTTATCCCCGTGTAAGAAACATTTTGCAATCGGATCTAATGTATATATTCGTCATTAGCAATAATTACTTGCGTGGAAAAATCCTTAGCTAATGCGTAGCTTATCGATTCTCTCTCTCTCTCTCTTTCTCTCTCTCTCTCTCTCTCTCTCTCTCTCNGAGTATTCGGAAGAAGAAAATGAATAACTGCCTACCCCCGCGTCGGAAGTTACTTATGACCCGGCCGAATAATTGCACAGCGCGAATTAATTGGATACATTAATCACGAAATGCACCCACTGAGCATACGAGTGAAGTTCCCTTACCTTAACTGTACCGCGCAATTGTTGTGATGGGTTCCATGTCTAATCTGTCGAGTAGATCCTCCTGCAATGCACAAAAGAAGCCCGGATAAAATCTGCCGAACAAATGTAGCCGCGTTATGAAGAACGTATACTTGGAAAAATCTTACTAAAATTATAATTACTTCCGACCTCAATTATCTTGTTCTGGCTTTAACCTAAAACGTACTAGAGGAAAGCAAACGCGATATGCCATTTTGTTTTTAGGTTTCAAGGTCCATATGCATGAAAGATTGGAAAATAATAATCCGAGAGGAGCAAGGGAGACAAGGAGAAATACAGGCGCTCCGCCAAAGACTCTACCGAAAATAAACGGGTTTGGTTAAACTCACGCTCGCGTTTGTGCCGGCTCGTTTGTGTATACACAGCGCGAAAGCATCTGCCCGCAGTCCGTCACCTATTTCTGTTAGATTCGATGTAGGACGATGCGGAGTTCACAGTGCCGAGTGTCACGACTGGAGGTTTGCGTAACCGGCGGTATTTTTAATCCGTCGGCGACATAAATCATGCTTTTAGCAGCGAGGAAATCGTCTCGCCGGACGAGAGGGGACGGGAGAAGGAAGGACCGAACGAGCGTGCTCGTAAGTGGCCGCTGTTAAAAGTTCTTCTCGACGACCGAGAAGAGTCTCCTCAAACCGCCGACCGACCGACCGACCGACCGGCCCGGCGGCAATAATGTAATGGGGAAGTTTAATGGCCGTCACTGCGGGCAAAGCGCACCGTCGTACGTGCAATAACAATTAGCGACAGAGGGTAACAGATGTTAGTCGCGGCTCCAAGGGCCGACCGGGGGGTCAGGCAGGGGGCGGCGGCTTTTTGTTCTCGGCGACGATGGGACATTTTGCAAGGGCTCCATTTGTCGGCTCGTTAAATGCGCGCGTTATAACGCGACGCCCGTTGGCGCCCGCGCGTCGACGAATTGCACTCGCAATGTTCGATCTAATGCAATGTGCGCTGGCCGTGAACGATGAATGTGACTACTCTCGCGCGATCCGTATTTATTTCCTGTGGTCGTGCGCAGAATGGCCCGGGTCGGAGAAAGGGAGAGAGAGAGAGAGCACAATTGATCTGGGCCACTCGGCTATAATATTATTGTTGTTATTAGTGTTACATGGTTTCTTTTAACGAGGGAATTACACCAGCCAGCGGTAATTTCACGGTTGTTCCGTAATTGTGTGTTACAATGCGTTCGTCGTTCATTGCGGTCGGCGACGACAAAAATTGAAATGTGTAACCCGCCCGAATTGAAATTTTGACGCTAATCTGACGCTCTTAAGGAAAGTTTGCGCTTATTTAAACACAGTCTATAGACTAATAAAAATCTACTTTGAGGATATTGATATTTTTTTAACTTCTCTTCTGAGCCTTTAATTCTACAGATTGAATTTTAACGCTACCTTCATCATCCTATTTTAACGTTGAAACAAAACGAAAACGGAAATTTAAGATGTCATCAGGGTCAAAGTAAGGGTTGTATTACATTATTAGAATTAGAAATTGAACGTATTTTACTATCTTAGTTCCTACTATATGTTGTAGAATTGAAGGTTTAATATAGGATCAAAATTTTGACTCGAGTGCGACAATGACGATGTTCAAAATAACAAAAAATAAAACAGAATAGCCGCGCCAAAGTTTTTCGAAGGAATTATCACCACCGTCGAATATCGCGACTGTTAATTTGAACCACCAGGAAGCATTGTCGAAGGCCGAGAGAGGGCGATTACGCACGACAATCGAGTAAATATTGGCCAAGCACACGCTGCACCTACGAAACAATTAAGTTTCCACGCGAAACTGGGTGTGGTAAGACACGTTGTCGCGTTGCATACAACGAATGGCGATTCAATGGCGCATAATAATAGCGACGAGAAAAATCAATGACGCATAATATGCGTTTACCTTGGTTGCGCCGGATGTCCAACGCACCATCGCATTTCATCTGTCACTTAGCGGCCGATCGACGGTCGTTTCTTTTTTTTTTCTTTAATGAAAATACCGGAACGCCGGTGGATTCTGCGTTGTGAGCGATTCGACGCAGCAAGATTGCGGTAAAATAAACTTCGCATAAATAACGGCAAATCTGATTCGAAGGGGTAAGTTTCAAGTTAGGTGCCGCTTAATGGAATTTTTAATCCGAAGTTAATTGTGGGAATACTTAACGCCGTATAAAAAGATAATTCAATCGCCATCACTTCGTCAAGAAAGTCGACTCTGAACTGGCCGAAGTATCCGCAGACGAGCTAAACGGCTGCGATACTTATACTTTTCGCAAGAAAAATCCATATTCGTATATATGTGTACTCTCTTGAAGCGAATCAGTGATTAGAATTTCCGCTTAAACCAGTAAAATATATTTTGGCAAAATATATTTCACGATATCAGCGAATAATCGCTGATTTTCAGTGATACACACTCACTTAGCTCCTCGTATAGTGATATACTGTTTCTTATTATTTTACTTATTAGTCTATTAAGTCATCTAAATAGGCGTAAACTATTTTCAAGAACGTCAAAGTAGCGTCAAAATTTCGACTCGGGGCGACAACTAAATCTTTTCAGCGAAATATTATTAATTGTCAAGCCACACTCATACCTGATTCCACCGTTTTTCACAGTGATAACTGATTCCGTTTCGGAGAATATTAAACAGTTTGCGTAATTGTGAAAATCGGAGAATTCAAGGATCTTCGGGGAGAGACGCGTTGTTATCACCGAGCGCGTTTCGGAGCGCGCAACTGTAAGCGCGCGCCGTACGACTTATCTCGGCGAGAGAATAAATCAACTAGCTACCGGCGAGCGACCGTAGAAATTGCGAAACCCGTAATTAAACGGCTAGACGGCTTTAAATTGTTGATTCGGAAATTTGCATCTCGCACGGTGCGCGGCGAAGTATCCCCGTTGTTTCTCGCAAGATGAGGGGGGGGGGGAGGTAAACACCCCGAAGAACCCACGAGGAAAAGTGACGAGGACGCACGCGTTGCGATAGACGGAGGGAACGGTGGGGGGGTAAGTGCCGCGATCGGGAGTGAGTATCGATCACGAAATATTTGCATGGGAATACCAACGGCGGCGAGCGGGTTATATTTCAGCCTGCGCGACCGGAAACGGACCCGGTTCTGTTCTAAGATTTCGTCCGCGGGCAGGCTATGAGCCGCGGAAGAGGCCGGCGCCGGCCGACCGGCCGACTGGAAAGCTGTTCTTATCAGTCAGAGATATCAATTATTTTATGTAACAACAGGTATAAGATATAATAAAGATTATATCGGATTAATGATGTCACGTGTGATTTAATAATAGCCTGTGAAAGGCGGACGAGTCGTATTAATTGTTTCGTTATAGAAGCTCTAATGAACTATATTAATTAGAGCCGTTATATAAGCCTTATTTCGTCATTACAATTAGAGTTACTTCCGCCATTTACAGCCTTTCACATGCCGATTGTATCGCAATTTGGCGCCTCATATTTTCCAAGTGTCATTTTTTTCACCAATTCGGCGGAACTATTGCTATAATCTGTGAAAAACTACGGAAATACTATGAAATGATGCAAATAACGAAGTGCCATCCTCACACCGGAAACGCCTCCTACACATCGCACAAAGATTTCGCGCGAAAAATCGATTTCGCCGGATCGGCCGCTAATTGCCCGACCCGACCCGCGACCGACGGACGAAAAATTAATTAGCCCCATTGAAAAGCGCGCGGCAAAACAAAGGCGAGCCTTTAATCTGAGAAACGCTCCTTTGGCAGATTCTTCCTTCCCTCCTTCACGCGAGCGCGCGCTCGCGTGAATTTAGGACAGTTAATTAAGGCGAAACCTCCGGCGCTGTTCAGACTCTCTCCGTCCCTTTTTCTCGCGGCGGTTTGTACGGAGATTTGCGAAGCTTGCGGTTGAAGCGAAGCAAAATTAACCCTTTATCTCTCTCATTAACACGCGCGGAAGAAAGAGAGAGGAAGAGAGTGGAGGAAAAGGGAGAGGGGAAGAGAACCGCCAGATTTTTAATAGAACCGCGAGAAAGTCCAGGCTTTTTCCACTGTTTTCGGTTAATCAGTTTTTCGTTGCGGGCTATTAATTAAACCAACCGTAGTTTCGCTGTTAAATTTCGACGTGGATTCGGTTAAGTTTGCCGCGTTGCCGCCGGCCGAAATATAACGCACGCGAGTCTCTTTCTCGATATTAGTTAACGCCGAGATCCAATTATCTTTTACAACCGAGGGACTATAAAGCGGAGTTAGATACGGCGTAGGCAGGCGTATCGTTTAACCGACGGCCGACGACGGGAGTTAACTCTTTCAGGGCTCTCTTACGCGCTTACGTCATTCTCAATCTGCCGCTCGGTCGTACACACGCACGCGTCATCTCGCACGGCGCACGCATACGGATGCACCCGTCTTGGCACGCTGCGACAGCAACCTCTCACGCGTACCGCTATGAATAACCCGTCGAGTGAATCGGGTCACGTTCAATGTTTTTACGCTTCTTTTGCGAGGGGTGTTACACCGTTTGCGCAACGCTCGGGGAAACACGAGAATATCCGAGGTGTCGCTGCTTCCATCTGTTCCGCCCTAATTCCACTTCTCCGCCGTCCTTTCGCTTCGGCCCAGAGAGATGTGGAATATTTTGGATAGCGTGTATAAAAGGATGTTTAATACATATATATATATATATATTAGGGGCACTCATAAGTAATGTCGTATTTTTCCGATTGAATAAATATCCACTACGAGGTTTTGAATCCCAATGAAACCATAACTGCTGAATATATTATTGTACATAGCTTAATAATGATGGGGATTATATCGTGGGTTAATCTGTACTAAATATTAAATAAAATAAGATTTTGTATGAGTATCAAAAAACAACATTACTTATGGGTACCCCTTATATATAAATATATCACATTGCCCACGCAGTGTGTACATACGCACGCGCGCGTTCCAAACACGCCATCGATCTTCGTCTCGTATCTAATTTCAGCCGTTTCACCAGAGTGTATATTATTGGAGAGGATATATATATAT